AAACACGGACAGCAAGAGTTTTACCTCACAATGCACAGCTGATATTCAGCAGTCCAGGTTTATACTCTCTGGCAAGTTCATCATTTTACTGAAAGCAACTCAGAGCATGATAGCAAGAGCAGATGCCATACCTGATGTTCTTGCAGCCTTCCCTTTCATTAAGGGTTGACCTTTTTCTTCCCTTTTTTTAGCCCCAAGGAAATGGAAAGGGATGCTAACTTCTAAGACCTCACAATACCCAAAACTAGGTCTGAAAAACTGTGGAGTGGCTCAGCCCATCCCTAGTGTAGTAATTTCTCAAATCACAGCAAGAACTCAAACTTCACATTCTATTGTCTCTAGAAGTCTTTCGCAGTTTGGGTGGGGGGTTTCTTTGCAAGCCATTCAACCACAATTCAACTCCTGTATTTGAATGCAATAGGCTTTAAAGAGAGGGTGCTCCCTTACAAGAATTTTCTACTATGCTTCTGAATTTGCTAATTTCCTGTTCAATTTCCTACAGCGTACTATTTACAGAATGTGGTGCAAACCAAAACAAAATAAGTCGATTCGGGTTTGGGGTTTTTGTAAACCTTAAACCAAGATGCTGGTAACTAAACGTGCCTTTGGTGATGCTTTCCTAAGCTGCTGAAACAGCTGCACTGGTCTAAGCTCTAAACCTCACATTTCCAGTTGCAATTACTGTTACATATAATATATTCAATATTATTTAGGTTTCTACCAGAGTAGAAATGAGAGTCCAGCCGTAACATTAGTAGCATGCCTTATAGGTTACAAAAAGCAAAGCACCAGCTCACCAGTAAAAGGATGGAATGGTATTTGAATCAAGACTAAAATAAACCTGAAAATCAACAAGCTAACTCTTGAAAAGACAATTTCATTATAGAATATTATATTTCATTGCTCTTTTAAAACTCGAATTTACAAACCTGGTCCTCATTCAAAATAAACTTAGAACTCACGATTCTAGACAGATGTACAAAACTGTGCTGTTGGATGACACATGCTGAAGTTTTAGACCACAATTTGTTGTTGCACACTTGATTATTAACACTTAAAGAGCAGTGAGAAGAAATGTCAAGTGCTATGTAAAGTATCATTAATTTCTCCTGGCAGGTATTAATTGGCCTGATTAATGACTTCTAGAACTATTGCTAATGAGGAAAAACAGCCATCCCAGCATGGGAGCAATATCTGCAGTGAGAGGACAGCCTTCTAGCCATTAAAAAAAATGGGGGGTGGGGGAATATCACACCATAAGAACAGTAGTTTCTCAAAGAGGACGTTTACAAGTAAATTTCTAAATTGCTGTCACAGCACAGCAGGGGAGAAATTCTGAAAGTGCCTCCAGCAGCTCTGAGGTCCGTGTTTGTGTTACTCCCCCAGGATATAGTCACTCTGTTATACACAACCAGGGATCCTCAGGGCCAGCGAGGTGTCCTTTGAGCAGCCCAGCTCCTTTTCTTCACTTTTTTTGCAGGGCAGAAGAATGGGAAAATGGTCAAAATATGTTTTCTCTTACACTTTTATCAAAAGCATAAAGATAAAACCATATTATTTTAACTTCCAAGGTACACTAAATATCATATACAGCCTGCCTTAAACGAAGCCAGGAATGTAGTGGTTACTTCCTAAGTAGAAAGAACTTTTGTAAATTCAGTTAAACAGAGTAAACAGACAATTCAGGAACTACACAAGCCTATTATTCCACTGTTTCACTGTTTTAACTGAAGATCAAAAGCCACTACGCTACAATAGTGTTTATCTCAGTACTGACCATCATCTTGAAGGACTCCTGTGGAAGCTGTTACTCTCTGTTTTATTTTTGTAGAGTTGTTAGAAAAGTATCGTCTGGACACAGAGTCCTCTGGATTCTGGCTTTTTTTGTCTTTCCCTTTGGGAAGCTGAGGTGAGGAACTGCTTTCTCCAGGGTCACTGGATCCATTGATAGATTTAGATCGCCGATCATTTCCCTGAAAAGAAGTGTATGGAATTATCACTGATTAAAATGATAAAGCTTATTTTTTTAATTTCAATATTATTTCAACCTTTTGTACCTGATTGGTGTCAGATGTTAAAGAAGCATATTAATTTATGATCAGTACAGTTAAGTGATATCTTAAACAATCCAGAAAACTGTAACTATCTCATCAACTTACTATATGATCTGACTGATTGAGTGCTCCTCAACCATTCCCAGGAGAAAATAACACATTTATTATAAGGAAATAATGCTTCACTTGATGAAAAGAATCTATACATGCATGCATATGATATACAGCTATATCTCATCTATTTGTGTGGAAAGTTACAAGATGTAACATATATAACTCGTGAATAATTCATTGCCTATGTAAATGAGACATGGGCATTAATCTAAGTGTCAAAAGCCACTGGAAGAGGATGACAATCTTCCTGTGGCAGTAACACTGACTTCCAAGTGGACACTAAGAAAGGGGTCTGCCAACACATCACCTCTGAGTCACCTCCCAGGACATCAGTCAGTGCCTCTGCTTGCTCTGTGGTGTGTCTAGAAACAGAACCAAAACCTGGTCCTTATTTTTAAAGCTTTGATGTGTGTATGATCCTGGGTGCATTAGCCAGAGATTTTATTATTTATACACATTTTCATTCCATCTAAATCTGTTCACAATCAACATCATAAAAACCTGAACTGTATATAGCAGCCCTTTAGGGTGCTCTTTATATCGTTATAGGCTGCGTAAAGACTTTACCAGCTGAACACCCTCATCCTCATCTCTCGCAGGAGGCTGTCAGCCTCCTATTTTTGCCAGTCTAATAGCACGTCTAGTTTCTTCCTAATCCAGTTCTGTCAAAACATTCCATATAACTATGAAAAAATCAAGCAGATAGGGCAGAAAACCTTATCAGTACCTGGAGCTTTCACTTCATCACAGACTTAGCTGAATCACAGAAGATGAATATATTCTACTTCATCGTTTCGCGCAGCATAGCTGCATGAACAAGTCTTGCCAGTTTAGAACTTGCCCACCAGAAAGGCCTTTCATTCTGCAATGGTCACAGGCAATTCTTTACACCTCACTGCTATTCAGTAGAAAAATCAGAAGGAATCAGTTCTGTTTAAAATACCTTACTTAAATACATCTAGCTTTTACCATCTAATCTACCATTTATCTACAATCACCATCCAATCTACCACTTAGCCTTTCTCTATAAAGAGAAATGAGGACACAGCAATATTTCAGTCTCTTCAAATTCAAACTGGAGACTGTTACTCTCAAGTAATAAAAGTTTAGATATCAAACTGAAGCAAACAGTTGTATGATTTATACCAGTTCAAGTGTTGCATTAGATATTTAAGAGCAGCAGTACACATTCCTGCCTCCTGAAGTTTTGACACTTGTTATCAGTGTGTGTTACAATCTCAATGGAATAAAAGTGAATATCAAGTGATTTTCTGTACATGCTGTTAAGTAATAACAGAAGGGGCAAGAAGTCGAAACTGTTAATGAGTTATTTTTATCAATGCTAGAATAAAGCTCACATTTTAAAAACAAACACCACTTGAAAATATGCTCTGTACTGAGATTTCATCCTTGGCTGAATTTCAACAGAATGGAACAGAGATTTATATATTTTATTGCTTATTTTGTCTAGTGATTCCAGGGTTTTTGGTTTTGCAAACAGTGAATGGACACTATGAAGACAGCAGTTGCTCTTTGCTATGGAAGGTTTCATAAAAAATAAAGCGGCCATTAGCACAATAGATCCATCAAGCTTTAATAAGCATACCACCAGGTGGCTGTGGATTTTTTCTCTTCAGATTTAATTAAAACCCAAAGGACAGAGATTTTCCATCCGCTGGAATTAAGTGAAATTAGAAATAAACGTTATGATGGCACTTGATACTTACACTGCCTTTAGACTTTCGAGATCCCACAATCGGAGGTAGCCCAGAGGCTTTGGAACTGCAGAAATAAGCCATATCTTAAAATTGTGGATACTGTCACTCTCATAGACACCATGTATTAATAATTAAGTCAGATCATACCAAGCAATTGTTAATTGTGTTGTTTCATTCATTGCATGTTTTTACTAAGAACCACTCTTTTCTGTTCACTAGACTATATCTAAACACATAATCATTAACTTATTCAAACAAATGCATTACATTTCCCCACAATGCATACTTTATACACCAAAAATTTGCAGACCAGTATTTAGTGAGTTACTATGTGAAAGATCCTTACAACTATTATAATGAAAAAGTTCCAGCAATTTCAACAAAACTTTGTTTACTTCAGTTGATCAACACAGCTTTTCACTGTCCTTAAATTCATTCGTTGCAAACGCTGTTTCCCAAAATACTTTGAAGTTATTCACATTGTCTACAGTTGCTCATTAAAAAATATATAAATGTAAATGACATCCCAGTTTATATGCAGAATATGGGACAAATTCACTAAATTACACCAATTTGTGGGACAAACTTCCATTTCTTTCTGTTTATTTCAATGAAATGGCTCCCAATTTCATGTTTTACAAAGATACTAAAAGCCCAAGTTTCTCCTTACAGACAGCCAGTTTAAATTCTATTACATGATAATTCTAGCCTACAAAAAACGTACCCAAACTTAAAGCATTCTTAAGGTAGTAAATATTCCACAAAACATTACCAAGCAAGAGTAGATCTAGACTGGTGTGGCTGCACCTAATCTCATTCAGCTGTACACATTTTTATGCCAGGAAAAAAAAACAAATTAAGTCCTGTCAAAATAATTCTTTCTCTGACATTAATTTTGTGATCCATGATCAATGGCGTGTTCATGACTCAAAATAGTTTTATGACTCTCCATTTTCTCTTTTGGCTTTATCTGGTCGTTCTCAGAAGTTGTCAGCACAGTTTTGCATCCATACTAACCCATCCATCCATCCCTTGTTCTTGGAATGATGATTTTGTACTTTACTGGTGGTACTTTGGAAACAAATTGACAGACACGAGCACGAGAAGTGTATCACACACCTATAGAACTTACCCCTGTGGCCTTCTCATTGTAGATTTGCTAAACAGAACATCACCATATGGCAACTTCTTAAACTTTTCTCTACCCACTGCAACATACATCTGCCCGTTCTGCAAGTCTGACCCATTCTGAATAAGCTTTCCATCTAAAGTGTAAAGTCTGAAAAAGATGAAAATGCTTCATGTAATAAACTTTAACATTCAGTTAGGTGTATTAAGACCACTGAAAGCTACATTAACCTAAACTCACTAAACCATATTGAATTTCCAGATTTGAAACCCAATAACGTATAGTAGATAGCATCAGTTACACATAAACAATGAAAATAAAACAAGTAACCTACAAATCAGCAAGAAGCCTATTTCTGAATTAATCTCGCTGTGTTTTGCTAGATTACATTTTACTTTGGGGAATTTGGGGGGAGAAAACAGCAAATCAGTGTATCACAGTTTAAGAACTGTTTTACCTGTTTGTATGGTGCTGCAGGTATACAGGGGTGCACACAAACATGATTGTAGGTTTTTGTTCCCAATCTTTCACTTTGCTTGTGTTTTAATGTTATATTTAATGTGCATAAGTTGTTCACTTAATATAACTCCCAAAAATGGAGTTTTAAAAAACGGAACTTCAAACAAATAAATAACTATTGACTTAACAAGCATCACATCACACAAGTTTTGTGACTCTTACTTCGGAAGCCTTCTACCCACCCACCTGGCCACAACCACTTAAAGACCAGCTGGGTTCTCTCTGGCTAGTATAATGCAACAAAGATGTCCTTGTGGTGGCTTCTTCTGGTCACTGGGGAATGACCTATGGCTTGTCCTGGGACATGTCAATGGATTTCCATTTTCCCTCCTGAATCCAAGCCAAAAAGTGGCAGCCAAAACAAAGCAAGCACACAGGCTGGCAAAGGAGACAGCAAAGACACAACCTGTGGGACCAATATCTCCACATTCCCAGTTGCCCACGCACCAGCTATGTGCCCATCAGCTTGCTGCACCCCATCCCCATGCACAATCTGGCAAGCAGAAAAGCTTCTTTTTCATTCTATCCTCTCTTATGTTTCTTACTCCCATCTCCATTCTGATGGGGATGATCAATAATTTTTTTTTTTTTAAAAGGCACATCTGAAACTGGGTAAGACTTGGCAGCTTTGTGTGTCTTTTAATAACACGGAAAAGAAAAACTGCCATATACATAATGGAGGTTCTTGTAATTCCACTTATCCTCCTCTAATAAGAAACTATATCTTCCCAGCATCAGTGGTCTTATAGGACCCCTCCTAATGCTAACATAGTTTCAGTAAAACCCAGTAATTAATATGTAACTTATTAAAGACCAATAAGCACTTTACTAATGTATTTAATGTATATTCCTAGCATTTTAAGGAAAATAAAATGAAAACTGGGTTAATAGAAAACCAGAAAAGGAAAACATTAAAAAATGCAAAATGCCATGTACATTATCTTATTTTTTAAAGAATTCAAGCTGAGCACTGCAGGGAACTTCTCAAAAGCAGTCCTAGCTATGTTCGGAATGATTTACACTTTCACGTGCATCATTCAGTTTCAGCAAGGAGTGACACCAAGCAGTGAGAATAAAACGGGAAAGGTTTTCAAATTGCTGAACAACCTGAGAGCAGAAGGAATTTATCTGGTGTAAATGGCTGTTAGTTTGCTCGCTTCTGAGTTACACTAAGCTGAGAATCAGATCCAGAAAGCTACAACACGTGTAGGTTTACTTTACTGCAAATCATAGAATCATAGAATGGTTAGGGCTGGAAGGAAGCTTCAAAGGTCATCTAGTCCAACCCCCCTGCAAGGAACAGGGATATCTCCAACTAGATCAGGTTGCTCAGGGCCTCGTCCAACCTGGCCTTGAACGTCTCCAGGGATGGAGCATCCACCACCTCTCTGGGCAACCATAAAAGAGCTGAGCAGCCAGATAACAGGAGCAAAGAAATGTGGGGCTGAGAGGAAAATTAATGAGAGCTAATAGTTAACAGCCAGCATTACCTTCATCTTTCCTCGTCCGGACCAACGCTGGGAGAGCAATGAGAAGAACTGAAAAAACACCTTTATCTTCACCGAGCTGAGCCAGGCTGTGCAAGCTCAGCCTCAGACATGGCGCAAGCAGCCAAGAATGATTTTCCACAAAAGGCCCTTTCCCATGCGAGGAACAGATTTCTGTAACGTGCTTGGCATGGGGCAATACTGGAATGGCAGTCATTTCCCAGTACATTTTGGCAGCCTGCTTACACTGCAACGTTTCTCATGGAAACTGCATACCTTGTTTTGTCCTAAAACTTGCAACAGCTACCAAATCGTATTGTAGAGAGCTTATTTTACATTGTAAAAGCCTTAAGGGACTGAATCTCACTCATCCAAGAGGTCACCTCCTATTCCTGGGATACCACAACAACTCAGACCAGTTGAGGTATTGGAACTGGCAACACTTTGGCCTTGGCTTTTATTAGGATGCTCAGCTGGCTGAGTATAAAGCAGATCCAAGTCATAGCACAGGTCTTTAAAAACCAAAGAATCTACAATATTTTCCTTGAAATTGTTTGTCCCAATGAATTTAAAGAACTATCAAAATCAAAAGGTAACATGGATCGCATCTATTATTGCGCATTCCAAACATCTTCACCAACTTTACCATGTATTTTAATTATTAATACTAAATATATTGAATTGTTACTGTACTATGACATGTCTCCTAACTAAATATTTAATCAAAAAATAACAGTTGAAACAAATTGAGTCTTTTCCTCTTTTCAGTAGCAGTTAAAATGAAACCTGAAGGTTACTGGGAGTCAAAATATTCCCATTTTGTGGCTTTTTGATGTATTTTAATTTTCTTATAGTAGACTTTCCCATGAAGCAGGACCGATCCATTATATCTACCTACGGAGTTTTAAAAACATATGTACATGTCAAATGTGTTTTGCAAAATATTCAGCTCTCTGATACCTGTGAACAGCTCCACTTCTGAGGGTAACTTTTCCTGTAACCATTTCGAGAACATGATCCCAGTGATTCAATGTGTTCCTGGGAATGAGGAGGCGTGCTGCAGGGCTAATGAGGTCTCCGTTAGCAATCAGGCTGAAATAAAGCAAGTAAAATGATTTGGAGGAGCATTTTAAACAAAAATAGTCTGAAGTTAAGACATCACCCCCCTGCCCCTGAAATAGCAGTTTACTAACTGAAAATTCTGCTTACAAAATAGTGTAGGGCTCCTGGAGCTGTTTTCGAAACCGTGCTGACACAGTGATTCTACTGTGAGTAACTGGCTTGATCTGCAAGGACAAAAAGAATTAGAATGGTTTCCACGGAGAGGTCAGAATTGTATGGACATCTTTGGTGTCTTCTCAGCTGTTGTTCCTAGTTACCCAAAGCACCAGTCTCAAACGCTGTTCTTGCTTTCTCAGTCTTTACTGCTCATAACCATGACCCAGGCAATTAAACCATCTTCTCTTTTTAAACAATAAATGCCCCACCTGGAGTACTGCATTCCGCTCTGGGGCCCCCAACATCAGAAGGACATGGAGCTGCTGGAGCGGGTCCAGAGGAGGCCACAAAGATGATCCGAGGGCTGGAGCACCTCTGCTATGGAGACAGGCTGAGAGAGTTGGGGCTGTTCAGCCTGGAGAAGAGAAGGCTCCGGGGAGACCTTCCAGCACCTTCCAGTGCCTGAAAGGGCTACAGGAAAGCTGGAGAGGGGCTTTGAACAAGGGTGTGTAGTGATAGGACAAGGGGCAATGGCTTTAAACTGAAAGAGGGGAGATTCAGAGATTTAGATCAGATCTAAGGGAGAAATTCTTCCCTCTGAGGGTGCTGAGGCACTGGCACAGGTTGCCCAGAGAAGCTGTGGCTGCCCCATCCCTGGAAGGGTTCAAGGCCAGGTTGGATGAGGCTTTGAGCAACCTGGTGTAGTGGAGGGTGTCCCTGCCCATGACAGGGGGGTTGGAACTAGATGATCTTTGAGGTCCCTTCCAACCCAAACCATTCTGTGATCTCTAGGTCTCCCTGCTATTATGTAATAAGGTACTTTTCTTCTTGTACAGGTCTTTACATCCAAATCCATCAGTGATTTATAAAGGTTGCTGAATACACATGCTCTTAGGCAGATGTTAGGCTATCATTGTTTGTCTGGAAGAGAAGTAATAATTAACACCTTTGGGACTGCTTGACTCCTGAAGGCACATTTTACACCTGATCTGCTTCAGGGGCCAAAAGAAAGATTAACTCTTTATACTCATCCATGACACAGGGACACTCTAATGCTGCAAATGAGAGAGAGCAAAGGAGAAAACAAATGCATAAATTACAAGGAAAATTAAAAAAGAGGGAAGTGTCTGAAAGGGGTAGTGCAAATGAGCTGTGTGCAACACCTTTAATTTTGAAGCTGGCAAGCATGCAGGCATGCAAGCAACTATAATACAGTATAACACAGTATTCCACAAGAGAGAACTCTTACAGGTGCCCAAGGTATGTTCTGGATACAGCGCAGGATATCAAGCTCTCCAAGTAAAACAGCACAAAAACTCAGCACAAGCAACCCTAGCCTGCTCTGAAGCCACCCTTTTAAAAAACAGTTTGGCTAGATCTACACTGCACTGTGAGAAAAAAGAAAAAAAAAGTAAAAAAAGAAAAAACATCCCACCCTATACACCATTCTTCTAATTAACCTGACTGTCCTCTTCATTTTTACACCTTTTTGGCACAGTCTTCAAGTTACTACTTTATAGAGTTCAGAACAACTTCTGTCTGACCAATGTCCAACTATTTATGGTCATGAAAAGCAAGCCACATAATTTCAATATACAGAAGTTTACATTAATAAAGTACCAAGTGCTCAGTCACTGTAAATCAATTCGGTTCCTTTGAAGTATATGGAGTTATGCCAAACCACGCCAGCAGAAGACCTCATCCAGGATTTAATTAAAGAATACATGAGGCTTTGAGCAACCTGGTGTAGTGGAGGGTGTCCCTGCCCAAGGCAGGGAGATTGGAACTAGATGATCTTTGAGGTCCCTTCCAACCCCAACCATTCTGTGATTCTGTGGTTCTGCTCCTATTTCATTTGTAGGAGGTACCACAATGGTGCAGTACCTGGAACAGCCTGACCCCTCTGGCACTCCAGAGTTACACATTAACGATGACGCTAGTCTTGGGAGAAAGTTTGTGCTTACATTAAGAGACCAGCATCCCTAGAACCCTAAACCCTTTATTTTCTTTTAATTTCACCAGCCACATTCTCAGCTGATGTAAATCAGCACTTTCCCATTTACGTCAGCAACCGTAAGCAGGCTTACATTAATCAATGATCTGGCCCCATTATGATTTTATCTTTAAATTTCATGCATTTTCTGTTTATTTGAAAAGAGCCGTTGAAGGGCAGCTGCCACATCCTACTGACAAACGTTGCCAGCATTTCATAATCTGTGATGAGATACTCATCTGAGGTATTACATGACAACATACAGCAGTAATGTGAAGCATTTAGAGGAGGAAGGAGAACACATTATATCAGTCAAAACTCAGGGAACTTTAAGTAAGCTGGAGGCAATCAATCAAATGAGAATTTGCAAGGCAATAAGAGCTAAACAGAGTTGGAAATAGACCACGGGACCACAGACACTCAAAACCACCATCATTTTTACCTTTCTATTCTACAAAGAATTTGTTATTTCCCACAGTGCCTCTTACACCAACAGCAGTGTGGATCGTTCTTGCTTCAGAGAGGAGTTGCCACCTGTGAAATAACTTTGCAAAGCACCTTGCAGGATGTGGGGAAAACAAAGCAGCAAAACTCAACACAAGGTGGGTTCTGGGAATGGGGATCAATCTGCAGTGTTTGAGACCTCTGTAAACACTCAAATTTCTGAATATGTTCTACAGAGAGTGTCTTGGAGCCCAGCTTTCCATTTCAGTCATAATTCTCAGTGGTTGAACTTGTGTTGCTGAATGTCAGCTGCAGCTGAGGGCCTCCTAACATCTCTGAAAATACAGAGCCAAGATGCAGATTGGCATCTAACTGAAACATGGTAAAAAAATCTATACCCTCATAGCTGCTTTATAACAACATTCTATACGTTTTTCCCGTATACTAAAAAATATGTTAAATATTCATAAAATTTCACAAACACAGACAAAACACTTAGCAAACACATATAGCACATTGCACAATCTACTTTAGATACTCACATCTTCCATTGTTGACTGTTGGCCAAAAAAAAGAAAACAAAATGATATCCACACGTGTATTCATGTATCTAATGTGTGTGTATGCATACATACATACACCAATTTAATACAAGTTTCATACAAGAATTTCTATTATATTTATGTTCAGCTGACCACACAAAAGACTGAAGATCAACTAAAACCTTGTTACTCCTTTGTAGAACACTATGGATGGACTTGCTGGTACAAGGCTTCTAACTTAAAGATGTGTTCCATTGGGAAGAGAATGTTACACGTATGGCATTACAGGGAAACCATCACTGAGAATGGCTATTCACGCAAGGACTCTGAGCAACCCACACATTGGTCTGAAATACACAGATATATATTTATTTCAAGATAAAAAAGAATGTTTTTCCCTTCTTTCTTCAGAAATGTGTTAACCAGTAAAAGGTAAAAAATATAATCCCTAAAATGAAGAGGTAGCAAAATTATGTGTATTTGTTTTGGTTGATGCGAACGTATTTGCTGATCACCATGCAGAAAGTTTTTGCTTCTACGAATGCTACATCAGACTTTTCATGGTTATTATTCAAATATAGACTGGAAAGTGGGACAGACCCAGCAAACTACTCAACCTCCTGTTGGCTACTCAGGACTAGCAAGAGCCATGCGACACTTCAGAGAGTCAATCCCTGTATTTTAGAAAAATATACAGTTGGTTAAACAGTATTTTAATTGTCCTCTGAACAATGCTGCATATTTAGTTTCTAAAAAGGTGACTTTATGCAATTGAGAATAGTTTCAAATAGAAACGTGCCATTCTTAGCTTTTCTTTTCCCTCCAGCATATATTAAATAATTAGGGACATGCTAAATACAGAGGTCTGGCAGCACTTTCACAGGCTGCCATGAAGGCACAGGCTAGTTATCCATAGCTAAGAAATTGTATGATTATCTGATTCATTTCTTTTTCTTACCAGAAGTGTCCCCCCATCAAAGGGAGCAATGGAACAACTGCGAGAGTTGCAGGTTCACATGTATTTATAAAGCCATACTGGACAGCAGCAAAGCAACAGTCAAAAAACCATAAAATCCCTGAAACAGATGCTCTGTGCTGGTTTGATTTCTACAGGTTTAAGAGCTGGCCTTTCTTATTGCTGTATTCATATAGTCTTGGGTGCCATGAACATCTCACTCATGACTCACATCACTTCATAATTAAGCTTTGAAGTTTTAAATATTTCAGCACAATGTCACATTCCAAATTCCTCAGCTCCTGCAATGCGCTATGGCTTTGCCAGTTTGTTACAATGGCCTGTTTGTTAATCAATGTGCCCCGGAAAATTGAGAACAAGTATTTGCATTCCCCTAGGGTAGACCTGGGGTCAGAAGAACCAAACCCCATTTACACACACCACCACCCCCCTGTGATGTGAAAGAAAGGAATGTTCAAGGTTCAGTGATCAAAAGGAAATTAGAACAAAAAGTTTTCTAAAGCTATTACAGCATAGGAAACATCTACTTCATGGCAACATGACTTTTTTTTAAATGGGCATTTTTATAGACTTTGACGAAAGATGCAGAGTCAAACTCACTAAGGTGTTTGGTCAGTACAAAACCATTTCAGTTATCCTACACAGCAATTAACCTGGATAATCTACATTTCCCTGTCTTTGAGCAACCTGGTGTAGTGGAGGGTGTCCCTGCCCATGGCAGGGGGGTTGGAACTAGATGATCTTTGAGGTCCCTTCCAACCCAACCCATTCTGTGATTCTATGATACTTTACATTGCTAGATGGTACACTGGATAGTACAAACAGCCTTGAGCAAGAGACTGCTAGCCTTTCTACTGGTGTGGGTACAAAACCCCAGTCAAACTTCTACTAACTGAGCGTATTTCCAAGCTGACATAAATGGGTCACAACACCACGGCAGTACACGAACTTCTCAGCCCACATAAAGCATACATGAGCCAGAAACAAACTATGCCAGAACGAATGGTCATGTATCGATTCAGGGAGCTTCTAGACCACAAAGCTCCTACAAAATTCCCAAAGTATTCAAAGCCACTTTGTTCACCTCCAAAGTAAACTACCATCCTTTTCAGC